TATGCACTTTTATGGGGAATTCTTGGAGCCACCCAGCCATGTTGGGTTCTATTGGTGAAGCTTGATCTCCATTGTGAGGCTGGGTTAATGGTCCTCCCCCCTCCCCTCCCTTTGCGCTTGCAGTGAACGCCCATGTACTTCACTTGTCCCGGGTGACGGATACATTTGTGTAAACCAAAGCATCAATGAGATTTGTGTTCTAATCACTGAGTGTGTTGACTAAAGTGTCCACTTTACCAGGGAGCTGATCTCTACAATCTCTGTCAACAGTGATATGGCCTTAAATCTTCAGGCTCACAACCTAGCACTGATAAACAGATCGTGAAATTCAGAATTTTGTTTTTTAATTTTATTGCATAATCCAGATTCTATTGATGAATATCTTCTTTGCATTCGGGTTCGTCTGCTACGATCAGACCATCAGGTGGGTTGCCTCTATGAACTCGCATGTCAGCAGCAGGTCCTTCAGGGTTCCCCATAGCTTGCTCTGCACAGTTTGCTTTTGAGGCCAGATTTCTTTTCAAAGTTGTGAGTAGAGTGTGTAGGTCTGCAAAATGAGCTCAGTCGTATGTGGTCCTGTCTGACAGACACACTGTGGGAACTATTCAGTCTGTATTTCATGCATGTAGTAAGTAGATGAGCCTACAGTGTCTTGTACGCCGAGTTGAATTATTACAAGAATATTTTGTTTTACCACAGAGGGTGGCGATCAAATTGCGGTTCCGGTGGTAACTACGGGTACACAGGGACCCAATGTGAATCCTGTGACACAAGGACCCACCCAGGCACCCTGGACCCCTAGTGGGTCAGCCGACTATGTCAGGACAGTGATACTGATCCAGAAGCAGACGAACCCAGGCCAGGATCTCTTCATCAGGGGCGGCATTGACACATCACACAGGACAGGTGGGTCATAGAACTAGATGTTTACGTCACGGGACAGGTGAGACATGGAACTGGATGTTTACGTCAAGGGCAGGTGGGTCATGGAACTGGGTAGAGATGTCACAGGAAAGGTGAGTCATGGAACTAGTAGAGATGTCACGGGACAGGTGAGTTATATAACTGGGCAGGGGCGTCACATGAAAGGTGGGTCATATAACTTGGTATGTACGCACATTAGAGGTGATTCATGGAAATGGGAAGCGGCGACTCAATACAGGAGAGTCACAGAATAGAGTAAAAGGTGCGTCACAGAGCAGGTGATAAGAATACTAAATAAATACCCACCGCGACAGGTGAGCCATGGAACTGGGTAGAGACGTTACAGGACAGGTGGGTCATAGAACTGGGTAGAGATGCCACAGGAAAGGTGAGTCATTAAACTGGGTAGAGACGTCACAGGACAGGTGGGTCATAGAACTGGGTAGAGATGCCACAGGAAAGGTGAGTCATTAAACTGGGTAGAGACGTCACAGGACAAGCGAGTCATGGAACTGGGTAGAGACGTCACAGGACAGGTGGGTCATAGAACTGGATGTTTACGTCAAGGACAGATGAGTCATGGAACTAGGTAGAGACGTCACAGGACAGGTGAGTCATGAAACTGGGTAGAGACGTCACAGGACAGGTGAGTCATGGAACTAGGTAGAGACGTCACAGGACAGGTGAGTCATGGAACTGGGAAGAGACGTCACAGGACAGGAGAGTCATGGGCCTGAGTAGAGACGTCACAGGACAGGTGAGTTATATAAATGGGCAGGGGCGTCACAGGAAGGGTGGTTCATATAACTTGGTATGTACCCACATGAGAGGTGATTCATGGAAATGGAAAGTGGCGACAATAAGGAGAGTCACAGAATAGAGTAAAATGTGCGTGACAGAAAAGGTGATAAGAATAATGAAAAAAAAAAAAAAAAAAATCCAGGACAGTCGTAAGTGCTGCCACTCTGCATTTTTGTCTCCTATATTTCTATTTGTGAATGAGTGAATTAAATTTTTAAACTAGTGAAAACTTAGTTGGAAGCTCCTTAGATGTGGTTTTATAGACGAATGATGAGAATACCCTGAACAGATAAGAAGAGCATACTATTGCCATCTTTCATAAGGTCCTAATATAGGGCGCTCTAATTATAACTTCTTATAAATTTGAACAAGCTGTCTGGGATTTGCCCTATTCGAATGGCATCAAGGATGTGACTCTCTGAGTCGCGGGGTTTAAAACCTTCAGATTCAGCATGGACAAGAAAACCCGTCGGCCAGTAAGCCTATCGTTGGTTTCCTCAAGAAATGTTCTGGTGCGGCGTTAAAAAAACATCATTTCATTTTCCAAGGAACTGTGTCCCCTCCGCTGGAAAACAGTTTCCGTTCCGTTATCTCATTAGCGAGCAATGTTGTTTTATGGTTGTCCGCTGCATCTAGATTGTTTATCTTCATGATTATGATTACCAATCAATACTCACACATTTTTTACTCTAATCCATCTAGGATGCTCCAGTACTGATGTATCCAATCCTTGCAGTATTCCAATCAAACATATCTCAGATGGCACTTCCAGCCACTTCGACAAGGTATTACGTGGGTTTTTTTAAGAACTGCGGAACCGGATTTAGACTGAACATATAGGAAAAGGGGTGAAAAAGGGGGGGGGGGGTGGTGGTGGAGGGGGTGGTGGTAGAAAAGGTTGGGGGCGAGGGGTGGAGGTTCTGGTTCCAAATCTTCCAAAGATTTTACAAGATACTACAGATAGATACGTTAATACAGTTAAGTTGAGTCAAGAAATGATTTCACAGCACACGGGGCATTTCCCGTGCGTGCTCCATCCTGATCTTCAGTAGCCGGCGCAGAGTTCTAATACTGGCAGTAACGGTCACAATCTGGTTATATGTCCGTCTTGCCTTTACTCTGTGTGTAGTGAGCCGGCCAGACCCACTGGTTACACCCAGGTGCCTCATTCTCTTCAGGCCATAATACTACTGATTCATTTGCTTTTTCCTAAAGGGCATTAACCCCATCACACACGGTAATACAGTCTGGTATTAAAGTTAAGATACCATTTATTGTTACTACAGGATTTATTTTTCGGTAAACAAAAACACATTCATGTTGAAAAAAGTCAATTCAAAAATGAAAATTATGGGCAGCAAGCAGATGTTATTTTACTTCATTCTGTTCCAATGTACAGGGTTATTCAAAATGATGGATACAGTGTCAGTAATGTATAGTAACTTGAGTATACATTACATATTAATAATATATATACAGTTAGTAAAAGTTATAGTTTATGTCTGATATATTATTGTGATAACATTGTGGAACGTAATAGTAATTACGCCAGGCGATTTAGCCAGAAACGGGCAGGTGTAGCTGTTTCACAGGGCACATGAGTTCTAAAAACGTATACGATGCAATAAGACACAAATGCATGAGTTATGAGTTAAAAACCGTCATCATAGCACTCTGAACATACGTTGCACTCACATTCGCCGCACCTTCACATGTACATAAAAGATATAAAACCGAACGAAAAGTATCAGCAAGCTTCACAATTTAACAAACACAAACGAAACGCGACGTTGGGGCTAGCAGCCTTTATCAGCACACATATAAATCAAACAATACTACACAAATATCCAAAATCACTTAGCTTAGTATCTCGAAGCAGCCAGGTGAATGTCTTGCCAATAGACTGACGAGACGGGACCAGAGAATAAATACCCCAGGGGAATGCCAGGGGCAGTTACTGGAGAGTTTTAGTTAAATCTGTGTTCAATCCCCTAGCATTTTAGATAAAACTGTGTTGGCAGCTCGGTCCTCTAGGTGTTAATGCGCCCAAAGTTAATATAAAGCGATTTTTACGAGACTTGCGGACTATGTCACTGGAGTGGCTAGATTTGATGGCTGTCACCTCCATGTCGTGGATACCTTGGTGATCCTGAGAATTCAAGTGTAATGGTACTGGTTTCAAGGCACCGTTCTGTACATCCAAAAGATGTTGTCTGAGCCTGCCAGCCAGACGCAGACCTATTTCACCGATGTATTTCATGCCACATCTCTTGCAGCTGGTGAAGTAAATGACATTGCGGCTCGTGCAGTAGATTTGCGTCAGCCAGATCACTTGGTCACTCCTTACTGTACCCATCCCGTTAGTTCCTTCTGACCTTTTTGTGCCTTCGCGTTGTTTACTCGCTACCAAAGAGCCCTGACAACATCTAGCTAGTCATCCATTAATTTACCACAAAGTGGCCCAGAACTAGCCAATCTATCTGCCTGTTCATTTCCAAACACACCGGCGTGACCTAAAGAAAAGATTCAACCGACGCTAACTGCACACTTCAAGTTGCTGAGTACTGACTGAAATAAATGTATACTGCCCAGTGTGTGAAGCAGTGATGGTTCTGCTTTCAGAGAGGTTAGAAAGACACAGTTGCACAGGTGGGCAGTGTTACTTGACAGCAACACTTTTGTATCGTAATTACCGTCATCTGCATATTTTCCTCAGGTTAGGCAGGTGTGTTGAGAAATAAACAGGCATATAGATTGACTGGTTCTGCACCACTGGGTGGCCAGTTGATCCACGATAAGCTAGATATTGTAAGGGTCTATTGTGAGAGAGTGAACTGTGCAAAGGCACAAACAGATCGTTAATTCTGAAGAGAATGGCGCTGAAAGAAGTAACCAGTGTATCTGGCCGACGCTCAACACCAAGAGAAAGGCGAGTCAGGTATAAAGTGGAGGTTACTGTTGCCATAGGAATTTGAATTTTTCGCTTGCGCCTGAAAATTGGGATGGAGCGCTCATAGAAATGTCCCGTGTGTCGTGATGTCGACTCTTCATTCAACTTTCAAAATTCCACATTTTTGTCACCACTAGGTAAACGCTTGGAGCGCGGGGGACAACTTCTTGGACTGGGTAGGCGCGGAACCGGGACAGGGAAACTACCAGGGGGTCGCTGCAAGTGGAACTCCGGCCTTCTGGTCAACTAACGTGGCCTCTGATGCTGGATATAGCCCATTCAACAAGTGCGTATATCTTGGTGTTCACCCATATGTTTGTGTGCACGTTTGTATAATGTACAATGAACTTCAAATTAAAACCTCAAAAGAGTAATAGGCATTACAATAACGATGCCGTTGTCAATACTGTGGTTAAGGATGTCAAGAGTGTTAAGCACGCGAAATCGAGACTTAGAAGAACACGTTGACGACATAATAAATGTTTAAAGAATCCACCCACTTTGACGAATGATGGTCCACTAAGCCTATCAAGATTTGCTACAGGAGATGTCATCTCTGTTCACTACCAACGCAGCCTGTTTCACCTTTAGTGGTTATTAAAAAAAAAAAAAAGGATAACAGAACGCTGCATTTCTCTGGTGCCCGATGAGAGATATCGATGACATAGTTATTGTGTTTTCTACGACACTGGTAAGGTTTTAATTTGAACCCCCTTTGTGTTTAAGTTTGTATGCATGTTCATGTAGATGTATGTTTAAATCATTAGAATATAAACAATATACTGCTAAAATACTGAGTTGCATTTCCTCTCTTGCATTATTGCAGAATTTATATAAATATGTAATGAAGAAGTTGAAGTTTATATCAATTATAATGAAGAAGTTGAAGTTTATATCAATATGTAATGAAGAAGTTGAAGTATTCCCACGACACTTCGCCGAGGTACACGGTGGAAAATAAGAAAAAGAAGCGTCGTGTTACTCTTTTTAGATTTCCAAATGCCAAGGTATTTTTTACGTGCGCAACGATACACACGGGCGTCCAGTCTTTCTACCCGGAGACCAGGGAAAATTCCTAAAAGTCCACGTTTAAAAATTCTAGCCCTCACCGGGATTTGAACCCAGGACCTCCAGCACTCGCGGTGGATGCCATACCTCGAGACCACTCAGCCATCAATGCGTTCTATGTCTTAACGTATCTGTTATCTAATTCTTTCATTAGATATGGACCCCACTACTGGGTGGTCGACATTGAGATGGACTGTTCTAAAACTGAGAAGGGATTTTTCGAATTCAAAGCTGTGGTCAACGGGGCCTGGGAGAGCGACATACCTGCCTCCACCTGCACGGGAACTGGGGCTACATCAGCTCCCTACACCTCCAAAAACCACTTCGCCAGGTGTGGCTACATCAACGTGTTCCACTTCAGCGACGGTACCTGCGAGATCGACAGTCCGGCTTAGCTACAGCTGGCTACATTCTAGACTATTTTTGATGTTTTCGACCTGTATGACGGCAATAAATATGTTCTAATGTTGTAAATATGGTTTGGAAGTCCTTTATCCATAGTCATCATCACCATCATCACCATCATCATCGTCAACAATATCAATATCTTGTTGTGCCATTAAATGTTAGTTTATTTATCTGATTCGTTCTTTCCGCGCAAACAGTTCAAAATCCGGATAGAATCAACTCCAGCACCTTTGGTCTCTCATTGACTTTTTTTTTTTTTTTAAATAGGTTTTTTTTTTTTTTTTTTGGGTGTCTTCGCTTTTCAAGTTCTTTATTTCATATTTCAGCGCGTTTGGTGATTCTCTGCTTGCCTTTCCTCTAATTTAGAGCATTCGTCGTCTTACAACTGTTGTTACAACTGTTGCTCCAATTCCTTCATTTATGCGTTTATCGATATCCATCCATCCATTTATGAAAAACATAACCAAAAGAAACGCCTCTCTGCGGCACAACATGACACCACAGTCTCGAAGGACTAAACAAGGTTAATGACAAACATCATTTGGCCGCTCTGCATCTTGGACAGGTAGTACATAAGATTGGGGAAACACAATTCTTGAAGTCTTTAAGGAGGATGACGAAGATTTAGGTCAAGTGACTTGACACAACACAGTGAAAACGACATAGAATTACACACATCATATAAATTATCACCATAATGAGAAGCTGGTTCTTGGCACATTCGATCAAGCCTCCCCACAATCTGCCGTCTTCAACAGCGTGTATTAGTTCGCTTGCTGGCACCCCTCAAAGCCACGATAAAAGGCTGTTAAGAATTTTTCTCGCGTTGCCTTCCTCTGTCTCTTTTGTCACAGATCTTCTCAGCATTTACAGCATGTTCCACTTTTTCTCTCACCGGGATAAAACAATGATGATTGTCTCTTTCTGATGTTGGCGAAAAGTTGTCTTCGAGCCTTCGCCTCTTTGAAAACATATCGGTTTCTCGTTTTGGCATGTAAAGGCGTGACTTGAAAACAGAAACTCGACGCAGAAAAAAAAAAATCTTGCGACATAATACACAAAAATCAGAAATTGTTTCAGAAACTATTCTCAAAATCTAATCTGAAGAGAAAAAATAAATAAATAAATAAATAACAATAATAAAGTATGTCAAAGCCCAGCTGAAGTAAAATCTAGAGACAGTCCAATGTGAGAAAGGTTGAGTAAAGTCGCAGTGGTCTAACAACAGTTTGCCTTACAATGCTTGCTTGTTAGCTTGATGTAGGCATCGACAACCTACCACATCAGTCCGACCTATTCGTGCTCACTCCCCCCAATACAGCAGCCATCTCAGTGTCTCCACACTCAACGTACCCAGTAGGAGTTGATTGTCATGTCCTCTTTACCCTGCTACACGTTTCTACATACTTGTTCTGGTTTAGCACACATTTTCAATCGGCAGCACACTGCCTCTTAACTCCTTCGTCTCAGCGTCTCTAGAGCGCAGCGCATTCAGTATGTCCTGCCCTGTCCATACTTCTTCCATTACTAACCATTGCAGACACGGGGCCAATGTGTCGACTCTTTTAAATGAAGACCATCTTGATGATGTAGTAGTTTCATTTTTAACAGAAAAAGAAAATAATCAAATCAGCCAGAAAGCCACCAAAACTGATTATCATATAATGGACAGACCAGAGCAAGTTATTATTCCACGCCGTATAGCATGACACAGTCGACTTCGCAGCCAAAAGATTGGCACATCTCTGCACATGTAGACTGGCACATGCGACAACAGATCAGGTCCTCCAAGACTGTTCCAAATACAACATATCAAGGCACAACTTTTGGCCAATAGAAACATCGGTGCAAGTCAAACTTTACGGTTCGCTTGGGTGAATTACAACAGACAGCGAAGTTCATACTAGAAATAACATTGCACATATCATCATCATTATCATCAGGTGCCTTGCCGACTGACGTGGGCGATCATGCCTCTCCATAATCCACGATCTCCTGCAGCATGTATAAGTTCGTGTGCCGACACACCTCCATGCCATGCAACAAGACTGTCAACTATATTGCACATATAGATAATCTATTTCAAGCTAACGAATTAAAAAAAAAAGAGAATTTCATTTCACCCTTGACGTGTCCTGGTGCATACAGCAGGAATACGTTACTTGACGCAGGACTTCCGAGTTTATATCAAACTTAACAGTAGTCGTATATTGTAAAGATCCTTTTCCCACGCCTTTAGGCATATAGGGAATACAGGGCTAGACCTAATATTTTTAAAGTCCAATCGGCACTTAGTGGGGGATGTGGTCAGCACCACGCCGGCCGCCTTTACTTTCCAGGACTGCCTCTGGTACCCACTCAAGGCTGGGTCGACCTGGGATTCATGGTCATGTTGGAAAAACAAAAGGTCTGGCTCCATCAAATCGCGAACCCACGAACTCCCGATCCGCAGGCGGGCGTCTAGCCGCCAACGCCACGGTGACTCCTTGTATCTTGTTTATCATTACATTATTAAAACACAAGAGACTAAACTAGTTTCAGCACAGACATATGACACATCTTCTTCTTCTTCTTCTTCTTCTTCTTCTTCTTCTTCTTCTTCTTCTTCTTCTTCTTCTTCTTCTTCTTCTTCTTCCTCTTCCTCTTCTTCTTCTTCTTCTTCTTCTTCTTCTTCTTCTTCTTCTTCTTCTTCTTCTTCTTCTTCTTCTTCTTCTTCTTCTTCTTCTTCTTCTTTCTTCTTCTTCTTCTTCTTCTTCTTCTTCTTCTTCTTCTTCTTCTTCTTCTTCTTCTTCTTCTTCTTCTTCTTCTTCTTCTTCTTCTTCTTCTTCTTCTTCTTCTTCTTCTTATGGTCTATGTCATGTGGGTGTTGGTAGTCATGTCTATCCACAATAGGCAAGCTGACAACTAGAAAACATTGAAAAAGCTGACCGCCCCCCCCCCTCTCCCAAGGTCGTCATACAGACATACACATTGTCTGTTTTATAGGCGAAAATGGGAGATCGGGGCTTAAGGAGCCTAATTCCTGTGTAAGCTCACAATAATAATAATAATAATAATAATAATAATAATAATAATAATAATAATAATAATAATCATGCCGAATGTGGAGTAAACATTTTTTTTTTAAATCTTGGAAATAATTTGGAACACATAATCATCTAGTTTTAAAGAACATTCATACACATGAAAAGATTAGGAAGATGGCATAAACCTCCCACATAATTAATTGGTTGGGGTGGGGGGGGGGGGATTTTAGACTTCCAAAGCCTACTTCTAAACATTGTAGGGGCGGGAAGCTCCTGTAAGCTGAGCACACAAATTCTGGTGCCCCTATCCAAAACGGTCACCAGAAAATCTTGCGATGTCCATGGACCGGTCAGTACAGTGTTCGATCAAACGCGTGGAATTGGTTCCGGGCTGCAGTGGTCATTCTGTCCACCTTACGCATGGGGCTGCAAACAAGATCATGTCACACAATCGAATACACCAGAAGGGAAAATGAAACGGTACTGGGTAACGTACAACAACAGTAAGTGGAAAGGTTTGCTTTCAAAGAAAGGATGAATGTCTTACGATGTGATGTCATATAGTTAGTAGCGTATCATTTACAGGACGCTGCAGAACCAAGCCCAGCATTTCCTGGATGTTGTGGTTTTCTAGGCACATCTAGGATCGAACCCAGCACCTCGGCATTGCGAAGCGTGTTCGCACCGCCTAAGCGACAGACCACAACGATTTTATATAGTAAAAGGGGAAACAAGTAAAGGAAACGACCCTTTTCCACGACTTCATAAATATTTGTCACATAGG